GCTAATCATTCCTGGGGGAAGCATCCAGTTAGAACCACAATGCCATAAACTATACTATTATTATAATCACTACCTTCAACTTGCTGATGATAATAATAATAGCTGGCATTTACACAGAGCTTTCAGGTTTGCAAAATGCTTTACATATATTATCTCATTTGATCCTTACAACAACCCTGTGAGGCAGGTAATATTGCCTCCATTTTACAGATGAGGAAACAGAGGCGTAAGAAAGCTAAGTGACTTGCCCAGGGTTTTCTTCCCTTATACAATATTAGCTCCTTGAGGGCAGCGATTATTTCATTTTGGTCTTTGAACTCCTCCAAGCACTTAGTACCACACCAGGAACAGAGCAGGGACTTACAAAAACCTTGTTGGTTCCAGCAGAGCCCCTGGCAGACTGGATGAGACCAGAGGAGGTTCTAGCTTGCTAGTCTTTCTTTAAGGAAGAGTGTACCATAGTCTAGCAAACTTCTTGTTGTCTCTGACTCCAGTTTTCAGGACACTTCTCTCTCTGTCTCTCTGTCTCTCTGTCTCTCTCTCTGTCTCTCTCTCTCTGTCTCTCTGTCTCTCTCTCTCTCTTTCTCTCTCTCTCTCTCTCTCTCTCTCTCTCTCTCTCTCTCTCTCTCTCTCTCTCTCTCTGTCTCTCTCTCTCTCTCTCTGTCTCTCTGTCTCTCTCTCTCTTTCTCGGTTCTCCTCCTCCCTCGCTGACTGCTCCTTCTCAGTCTCCTTTGCTGGATCTTCCTCCAGGTCAGACCAGATAACAGTGGAGGTCCCCAAACTCCACCCTGCACCTTTTTCTCTTCTCCTACTTCACCTGGTGATCTCATCAGTTCCCACGTTTCAATGATCTCTGCAGATGGCTCTTAGATCTACTTGTCAGGTCCTCACCTCTCTCCCGACCTCCTAATTACCTTTTAGATATGCTGAACCAGAGACACCTTAAACTCAACACGTTCAAAACTGAACTCACTCCAACCCAACCTTCCCTTCTCCCTAACTATTCCGTTACTGTCGAGAGTCCTGCCATCCTCCCACACACTTAGGCTCCCAACCTCAGTGTTACTTCCAACTCATCACTCTTTCTCACCTACCCCTATATCTGGTCACTGGTTGAATCCTGTAATTTTTATATGTAGAACTTCTCTTCTATATGCCCCCTTCTCTCCTCAGGCCCTGCTACCACCTTGGTGTGGGTTCTCATCCCCTCATAACTGGACTATTGCAATAACTTGCTAGCTGTACTCCCATCATAAATCTCCCCACCCCACTCCAATGCATTTAACACGCAGCTGTCAAATTGATTACCCTAAAGTACAGGTCTGATCATGTCACCACCTCCCCTCACTGTACATTCAATCAACTCCCCTCGCTCCCCATCACTTCCAATATCAAATATAAAATCATCTGTTCAGCATTCAGAGTGCTTCATAACCTGGTCCCATACCCTTGACCCACCTTTTTAGTCTTATACCTTCTGTGCATCTTCCCACTTCTTGGACCCTGTGATCCAGTGAGACTAACCTCTTTGATGTTCCCTGAACAAGATGTTCTTCCAGGCTCGGGATTTTCACTGGCTGTCCCCCTGCCTGGAATTCTCCCCCTCCTCATCTTTGCTTTCTGGCTTCCATGAAGATCCAGCTAAAATCCTGTCTTCTACAGGAAGGCTTTCCAGGTCCTCCTTAATTGCAGTGCCTTTCCTCTGGTGATTGTCTCCACTTTATCCCTGTAGATAGCTGGTTTGTACACAGTTATTGACATATTGTGTCTCCTGTAATACTGTGAGCTCTTTGAGAATGGATGCTGTCTTTTACCTTTTTTTTGTACCCCCATTGCTTAGTATAGTGCCTGGCATGTGGTAGGTGCTTAATAAATGTTTGCTGACTGATGGGTCTGACCACCCCTGTCAATTCAATAAACTCCAGTGGCTCCCTCTCACTTCCTGGATCAAATATAACACTTTCTGCTTGGTTTTCCAAGCCCTTCCTGACTCGGCACCTTCCTAACTTTCCAATCTTCATGCACCTTACTCTCTGTCCCCCTACATGTACTAATGGCCAATCTGATGACTGGGACTCCTTGCTATTCTTTGACATTTCATTTCCTCACTGATCATTTTTTCTTGCTGTCCTCCATGCCTGGAGCTATCTCTCTCCTCATCTCTACCTCCTGGCTTCCCTGGCTTCTTTCAAGTCCCAGAAAGTTTTCCTGATCCAGATTCCCCCCTTTGCTAATCCTCCTTAGTGCTGGTGCCCTCCTTTGGTTTATCGGCTCCAATTTATCCCATCTACAGCTTTTTGGTAAAGACTTGCTTGTTTGTTATCTCCAACATTAGACTTTGAGAGCAGGGCCAAGTTTTCGCCTTTCTTTATATCCCCAGTGCTTAGCACAGTGCCCAGTGTGCAGTAGGTACTTAATACACGCTAGTTGTCTGACTGCTGGTTGAGCATCTCTGTTACTCGATATGACAGCTAGTGAAGGTGAAGAGGTAAAAAACAAACAAACAAAACCCTTCCCTACCACTGCTATGCTTTGTTGCCATCACAGGGTCCCACTCCACAATAGGCCTGCTTTTGGCCTGAACCTGACTCTCTTAAGCTGCATCATGGACTCTAGGGAATGGCCACCGTAGCTATTTAAACACCTCTAGGGGCAGGGCCAATCTTCAGCCAACAAACCTCAAGTTTCCCTTCCAGTTCAATCAAAGAAACTTTGCCATACTTTGTAAGGGGACTCTGGGGGTTAAAACAGCTTTGTAATTAGTTTAGTGCCTCTTAAACATATTACTACTTCATTACCTCTGTGAGGAGTCCTTCCTTTCTGTGATTGCCTCACTCAACACCCATGAGCCAGGTCAAAGACCAGCTGCCCCTCTTTACTTAGGTACCTGCATGCTGCCTCCTCTTAGAGAATGGAAGCTCTCTGAGGGTAGAACATGTTTCTTTCTTTGTTTTCTGATCTTTGTATCTAGCACAGTGCTTGACATGTAAGGTGGTGTTGTTCGGTTGTTTTCAGTCACGTCCAACTCTTTGTGACCCCATCTGGGGTTTTCTTGGCAGAGATACGGAGTGGTTTGCCATTTCCTTCTCTCGCTTATTTTACAGATGAGGAAACTGAGGCAGACAGAGTGAAGTGACTTGCCCAGGGTCATCCAGCTAGAAGGTGTCCGAGGCCACATTTGAATTCAGAAAGATGAGTCTTCCTGGGTCCCAGCCCGGTGCTCTATCCACTGCACCACTGTGGTGGGTGCTCAATAAATGCTTATTGCTTGATTTCAGCCTGAGCCCCTGGTAAACTGGTTGAGACTAGGGGAAGGAGCTAGGTCTTACCTTAGAGAAGAATTAATATCATAGTCTATAATATACTATATCATATATTATAATGTTATAGTCTATGATATATTATAGACATATATAGCAATGATAGTGACCTGAGAGCAATAAGATGCCTTAGCATCCATAACCCTAGCAGCAAAGTCCTGCCAAATTTATTGTGTGCCCAGTATGTGCGGGGATCTGTTGGACTATAAGATTTAGAACTAAAATCAATCAATCAATCAATATTCCTCAAGTGCCTACTAAGCACTAGGCATTGGGATTACAAATTTAGAAATGCCCTCAGGAAGCTGACATTCCGTGGGAGTGGGGGTGACCACATATTGCCATATGTAATAACAGATATCACTGTCGAGCCCAGGGGGCCTGGACCACTTGTCTTCTCTCACTAAGGGGAATACGTATAGTCCTGGTCCACTCCTGAGGGAGCCTGACATTTAAAAGAGGGGGCGGGTTTCTTTTTCATGCTCTTTGGTTCTTTATGCTCCCTCCTCAGAGCCTTGTGGAAAATCACTGAAACCTTAGATTTGACTCATATCCGGTATTTCCCCAAAAGGGTATAGAAAGTACTCCATGTCAAGCAGGTATTACTTCCTGCACTGAGAAAGAAATGCTTAGTACACTAAAGATTAGTAAGTATGCACTGACAAAGACTCAAAACTTAATCTGGTAACCAGTAACTCCTACTGGACCTTCCCAGGAGTTGACACTTAAAACGTTTAAATGTGGGCCATTTAATGGGGCTGTAGAATCACCATTTCACCTTTACTTCAACTCTATATTGTTCAAACCACTCCCTCATGGTCACTGTCTTCTGGGGAACCAGGACAGGGCTCGGGTTTCTCCTCCTGTCATTGTCCATTTTCTCCAGAAAGTGTTTATAGTAGCACCTGACTGAGGGACTCAGGCTTCTGACTCATGAAATCTCCTTGAAGGCTAGAAACGTCTATCTCAGGATCACTATTTGATCACCTGTGATTAGGAAAAGAAATACAAAAACAAAGAGGCCAAGAGAGGGCTCCTTAGGCAGCACATGCTTTGGCTTCTGTGTGTAAACCTGTTGCTGAAAGTGCAGAGGGAGGTGCAAGGGGTGTGTGGCAAAATGCCTTTCTCCATTATCATGGGAAGTCCCAGATAGAGAATTCCATTCTGCACTTTCCGAGGAGAGGAAGAAGAGAATGAATGGAACTTGTCTCTTTCTCTTAAGTCTAGTGTAGGGTGTTTGGTCAGAGAGGTCAAGGAGGAATAAGGGGAAGGATGCAGGGTCTTAAAGACCAGTAGTGGAGAGATCTTTAGGAAGAAAGATGCTGTGGAGCTGTCCAAGGTTGTGGCCCAAGAATGAGCCTTCTTCTTCACTGCACCCTGTCTCCTGCCAATGCAGGGTCATGTCATGATATAAATAGATGCACTTCCTGTTGATTTCACTCTCTTTTTGCCCTTGCTACTTCTTTCCCATTCTGGATGGCAGGTAAAGCTAAAACAGATCTCGCCGCTGACAGAGGAGGAAAAGGTGGAGTACAGCGTGGCAGCAGAGCGTCGAAGGATGAGGCTGGTGTACACAGAAACCATCCAGGACCTACTGGCCAAAAGCGTCATTCAAGATGGTGAGATGTCCTTGCAGGACCCAGTGTGGGAGCAGACCATGGGGTGGGTAGAAAGAAATGGGATTGACGTCCAGAGAAGGGCTACTAGGGTGGTGAGAAGACTGAAAACCATGCCAGGTAAAATGGGAGATAACCCAGAGGAGAGAAGACTCAGGGGGCACATAAGAGTCATCAGGAATTTGAAAATCCTTGTGGAAAAGGGATTAATCAGCTTGGCCCCAGTGGCCAGAACAAAGTGGGCCTTTGCATCCTTCCCCACATTTCCCTCTGACCTCTCTGACCACTCCTTTTTGGTTTGCTGTAAACAATGGAACAATTAGAGCAAGTCTGCCCACTCTGGACCTCAGTTTACTTTTCTGTAAAATGAAGGGTTATGCTATGTGACCTGAGTTCTCTTTTCAGTTGCAGCAACTCAATAACTATCTGGTACATGGATGTTTCCATTTAAAAAAAATTTAAGAAAAACCCCCAAACCTTTGTAACAAGTATGCATAGTTAAACTAAACAAATTCTTACATAAGCTGTGTCCAAAATACGTCTCGTTCTGCATCTTGAGACCATTGCCTTCATCACTGGTCCTCTGGAATAGCCTTTTTATGTTGCCCGTGAGAGACGTGGTTAGATGCTTTGCTAAAATCTCAATGAACTAGATCTGTATGATTTCCCTGATCTATGGGTCACTAACCCTGGCAGAAAAGGAAATTGGGCTAGCCTGGCATATGTGTTCTTGATGAAGCTGTCTTGGCTCTTGGTGATCATTGCTTCTTTTTGTAAATGTTCTCTCACCATCTTTTTCATGATATGTTCTAGGATTGTGTCTCGAGTAGAAACCAAACTCACAGACCTGTAGTTGATAGCTTTTGCCCCCTGCCAGAAAATTAGGATAATATCTGCCCTTCTCCAACCCGGTAGGATCATTCCTGTTCTTGTTGACCTCCCAAAGATCGGTGACAGGCACAGTGCTAACAGGCCCATTCAGTCAGTGACTAGGAATGCATGTAGTTCATCTGGGCCTCGTGACCTGATTGCACCGAGGAGTTCTTGCTGGCTCTTTGCTTGTCTTGAGCATCAGCCAACTTCTCTTGTGTCCTTTTCAATCTAAAGATCATTCTCTTCAGTGAAGAATATAAAAGCAAAATAGGGATTGAGCTCCGAGCATTTTGTTGTCACTTTTTGTCATCTTATCCACCCCAAGCAAAGGGCCGATCCCATCTATGACCTTCTTCTCTCCCTCAGTTGTAGTTCTAAAGCTCGCTTTTGTTGACCTTAGATTCCCCCACCAGTCTCAGCTCACTCTAAACATTAGCATTCCTGATGCTATTTTTACTGGACTGAGCAATGCTGTTATGTCTATTCTCTGTTACCTGACTTCACTTCCATATTTTGTGTATTTTTTCTTAAGATGGAAGTCGTTCAATAAGTAAGTTATCTGTGTATCTGCATCAGTCTCTCTAGTCAACTCCACATTTTCTAAGCATTCTAGACATACAAGGTTGGAGGTCCTTCAGAGGGACCTCCCTCAAATGGAAGAAACTTTGATGATCATCCAACCCCGTCATTTTATAGTCAAGAACCTCTGATCTGAGGATCAGAGAAGTGACTTATCCACAGTCACACAGGTGATAAGCATCAAAGGTAAGATTTGAACCTAGGTCATCAGATCCTAACTTCTAGATCTGAGGCTGGAGGGGACTTCAGAGGCCTAATCTAACCCTCTTATTTTCCAGATGAGGTCCAAGTGACTGGACCAAGGTCACATAGGTAGTGATGATTAGAGGCTGGATTTGAACCCAGGACCTCTGATTCCAGACTCTGTGCTCTTTCCACTGTACCTCCCTACTTGTGGGTTGTTGGCACATTATGGGCACCATTATATTCCCATGCCCTGGGGAGAATTCAGAAGAGTTTATTCATATCCAGTGCTTTTGGTTATCTCTTGACTTGGGTCTGTTGGAGCCACTAATTATAGACAGATTTAAGAACAACAGGGAAGCTCAGAAGCTAAGAGGGGATGTGATTAGTCTATAAAAAGCATGAGAGACCCAGAGGAAGTGTTGTATGGCCTTGTTCTCCAAACCCCAGGGTACCACTTAGGTGGTGAAATGCACCAGGTCTGGAGTCAGGAAATGCTGTTGTCCAGTCTTTTCAGCCACATCCAAGTCTTTGTGCCTGTTTTGGGGGGCTTTCTTGTCAAAAACACTGAAGTGGTTTGCCATTTCCTTCTCCAGCTCATTTGACAGATGAGAAACTGAGGCAAACAAGGTTAAGTGACTTGCCTGCAGTCACACAGCTATTAAGTGTCTGAAGCCGGATTTGAAGTCAGATCCTCCTGACTCCAGGGACAGTGCTCTATCCACTATGCCACCCAGCTGCCCCAACGACGTATGAGTTTTTAAGGGAAAACTGGAGATATCTTTGAAGCTCATAGAATCTCAGAGCCTGAGGGGATTGTAGAGCAAGGGACCTTAATGGTCAGTCATATTTGGGGTAGCGAAAGAGTGCTGAGGGGGTGCAGCTAGGTGGCACAGTGGATAGATCACTGGCCCTGGATTCAGAAGGACCTGAGTTCAAATCCAACCTCAGACACATAACACGTACTAGCTGTGTGACTCTGGGCAAGTCACTTAACCCCATTGCCCAGCCAAAAAAAAAAAAAGAAAGAAAGAAAGAGTGCTGGGTTTGGAGACTGGAGGGCCTGAGTTCAAATCTTGGCTCCATTACTCACAGCTATGTACCCCTGGGCAACTCTTTTCTACTCTCTGAGCCTCAGTTTCCTCATCTGTACAACAGGGCACTACCTACTTTATGGAGTTGTTGAGAGGAAAATGATTTCTCAACCTTCAAATGCTATAGAAATGTGATTTATCATTATGATAATGTTTATTAATTAATAATGCCATTAATTACCATGAGTATTTAGTCTAACATCTTTCCGGACAGAATCATTATAGCAATAGTGACCATTTATATTGTGCTCCAAGGTTTCCAAGCACTTTACACAAATCTAAGTGACTCCCTAGTGGTTCAAAGTTGACTCGAAGGAAGCAAAGCATTAGCCTGTCATCCAATAGAATGGGAGATGGGCTGGCCCCGGAACTGACCATGATGTCAACAAGTCCTGGGAGAGGCTCTGAGTGCAGATAAAGCTCAGTTCTTGTTCTCATGGAGCCTGGAGGAGGCGGACAAAACAGACACTAACCTAAGACATGTGCATTAGACAGATGTGGATAGAGTGCCCTCTGGGGTCCAAGGGAGAAAGGTCATTCATGGCCAGGGAGGAAAATGCATTTGTGTTGGGCCACGGAGGGCAGGGTTTTGTCTTTGTACACCAAAGGCTTAACACAACGACTGGCACATAGTAGGAACTTAATAAACGGTTAGTGATTGGTGGGTAGAAGGTCATGGAATCACAGACCAAGGAGCCAAAATTGCCATCCTGTTCTGACGCAGCCCTTGTTTCAAGACCTTCAGTGAGGAAGAATCCACTTCCTCTCCAGGCAGCTCATCCCACTTTGGGGCAACTGACATGGTTAGGAAGCTTCTCCTGACATCAAGCCTCAGTTTCCCTCTTTGTAATTTCTACCTTGTGCTCCTGGTTCTGCCCTGTGGGGCCAACGGAACAGGTGTGATCCCTGTTCCATGCGTCAGTTCTTCAAATATTCAAACACATCAGTCCTATTCCCAGAGTATTCTCTTTTCCAGCCTAAACACGTCCAGTTCCTGTAAACAATCCTCCAAAGACTCAGAAGGCTCAAGGCCCTTCACTGTCCAGGTTGTCTCCCTCTGGGCACTCTCCAGATTACAGATGTCCTTCCTAAAATGTGCTGCCCAGATCTGATCACTCTAGATACGGTCTGACTGAGTCAACGCAACTCAGCGAGCATTCATTAAGTGCCTGCTGGATGCCAGGCACTGTGCTAGGCACTAGGAATAAAAAGACAGAAAACAAATAGCTGTGTATCATGTTCACATGTCCATTAAGCTAGCCAGGATCCTATAGGGCAGCCTCCTGCTTACCAGCAAGCCCTCAGCCACATCCCATGTCCCATGTCAGATCTGGAGAGCAGAGACTGTAACAGGATGGTGCCCGCTGAGAAGACCCGAGTGGAGAGTGTGGAGTTGGTCCTGCCCCCCCATGCCAACCACCAGGGCAACACCTTTGGTGGCCAAATCATGGCTTGGATGGAGAATGTGGCCACCATCGCAGCCAGGTGAGGCCTAGCTGAATAACCCTTCTCTACTTCTCCCCAATCTTTTCTGGGTGCCATGATTAGCTAGAGGGCTTCCCTGCCCTATGGCCTCCACTCTAATATTGGATTATAGGACAGAACTTGTCTAGTTGAACCTTGACATGATGTGTGATCACCCTCTCCATTGGATTTGACAATTAAGAGCTCGCTAGTATCTTTGGAGAGAGTAGTTTCGCTTGAATGAAGAGGTAGGAAACCGGACTGCAGAGATTTAAAAAGAAAGGAAAGAAAGTTGAAGCACCTGTTGTGACTATCTTTCTGAAGTTCAGCCACAAAAGGGAGGAGAGATATAGGAAGCAGGGATGGAAGGATGAAGTGTGAGCTTTTTGAGGATAAGGGGCGACATGGGCATATTTGTAGGCAGTAGGGAAGAAACCAGTAGACAGGGAGAGATTGCAGATAAGGGAGTGAATAGGGATGATAAAGGGGGCACTCTGCTGGAGACAGGCTGGAATGGGATTACTTGTACAGGCAGAGGGGTTTGCCTTGGCAAGGAGAAGGGCTACCTCTTCATCTGAGACAGAAGAAGGAAGAGATAGTGGCAGAAGGCATTTGGGGATGAGAGGAGGGAGCGCTTTTCAAATGACTTCAGTTTTTTCAGAGAAATACGAAGCAAAGTTCTCTACTGAGAAGGTGGGCAGAAGGGGACTATGGGAAGCTTGAGGAGAGATTAAAAGGTTTACAAATCCACAATGGGTGGGATAACAAGTTAATTAAGGAGATGTAAAAGGCTTGCCCAGCAGCAATGAGGGCCCATTTGAGGTTATGGAACATTAATTTATCAGCATGATTTTTGTGATTTTCTCCAATTTCTTTTGGCAACACATGGCTAGGAGCAAAGGTAGAAGATGGTGGGTGTGATCCAAGGCTGAGGCTTGGCAAGACACAATGGGTGATGTGAGAAAAGGAGTCAAGAACTCTAGAGAAGAGGACGGGGTCAAGATGGGGAAAAGAGGAGAAAGGGGTCTGGAAGGACCTCTGGTGGAGATGGTCTGGAGGAGAATTGTGTGGTTGAGGGACTGGAGGTCATGGTGTCGATGGAGAGAAGGTCTGGTAAGGGAAGGCAGAGGGAGAGGTGGAAAGCCAAAAGATCATGGCCAGATAAGGGGAGTTGGGAATTCTTGAACGTGGAAGTGGTGCATCTATGGGTGATGGTAAGGTCAAGTGCATGACCATCTTTGTGTATGATTGAAGTAGAGTGGAGGAGTAGATCATGGGAAGTGAGTAAGTTGAGGAAGTGGAAGTTTAGGATGTTTGAAGGAGTATCAATATGGATGTCGAAGTCCCCTAGATAAGAGGAGGAATTGGAGAGAAGAAAAATATTGTGAGCCAGGCACGGAACTCACTGAGGAAGGAAGGGGAGTTTCTTGGGGGGGGGGTGTCTGTAGGCAATAGCTACCAGGATTGTGATTGGGTGGTAGATAGGAATTACATGAACATCAAAGGAGGAGAGGTTATTGAGCGATAGGTACACAGTGAGAACATGCAAGTGGCCAGGAGGAACGACGAGCACTCCATCTCACGTTGATGAGTGAGTTGGGGGAAATGAGCCCAACCCCCTCATTTTATGGATCATTAAACCGAGTCCCAGGGCCATGAAGTGATTTGCTCAGGATCACACCGGTGTCCTGAGAGTCAAAGCCAGTTCCTTACACCCCAAATCTAGCCCTCTTCACTGCATCATGTTCCTCCCTGGAGAATGTAAGCTTCTCAAGGGCAGCAACTGTACAATTCCTTGTGTCTGTGCCCCAGCCAGTGCCTTATACATTGTAGGTGCCTAGTAGATGCTTGCTGAGTCGACTGTGGAGGGAGAGAATGGGGTAGTTGGGGAAAGCTTCAGAGCAGAGAGCTGGGATGATCAGAGGATTTTAGCTATGGAGCTAGAAGGGACTTCAGAGTTTACTGAGTTCCAACCCTCTTATTTTTCAAAAGGGGAAACTGAGGCACAAAAAGGTTAAGTGAGTTGCCCTTAGTAAGTGTCTGAGGTGGGATCTGAATACAGGTCTTCCCAACTCCAGGTCCAGTACTCTTTCCACTGTGCCATATTGTATCCCCATGAGCTGGGCTTTGAAGGATGCTTAGGATTGGGATGGAGCTCGGTATTTTAGGCAGATGGAACAAACAGCCTGACCTCAGGAATAAAGATGGGGATAAGACTGAGCTGGGCCAGGGGGACTGGGAACCAGTGGCCCCAACAGACAAGCCTCACCCCAGTTGCTCCCTCCTCTTCCCTGCTGTGCCTACACAAGCCTTTGCTACCTTCCCTGCCCTCCACCTCCCCACCTCCCACCCTGCTAGGGGGGGACATAGCCAACCACCCAGTGGGGAAATACCCAGAGGGCATATGATAGACCCCAGGGCTGGGCAGTTGGGTCAGATCTGGCCAGGCTTTGCTAGCATGCCTATCCCCCACTATCTCAGCCGCCTGTGCCAAGGCCATCCCACCCTGAAGACAATTGAGATGTTCCACTTTCGAGGCCCATCCCAGGTTGGGGACCGGCTGGTGCTCAAGGCCATTGTCAACAATGCCTTCAAGAACAGGTGAGACTGGACCCGTTAAGGGATAGGAGTGTGATGGGATGGATGCGTACATGTCGGGGAGGGGAGGGGAGAGCAGAAATTAACCATGAACTGAAAACGAAAAACTGTAAAAGCTGACTCCACAGAAATTCATAGACTGTGACAAGCCAGGCTTTAAGAGTGAGGGAGGGCTTGAAAATGGGGGATGTCAGAGCTGAGCGAAAGGAACTTTAGAGGTTATCGACATAGTGACAATAATGAAGCCAGCATTTCCATAGCATATGAAGGTTTCCCGGTGGAATTCTAGTGACAAGCCAGGCAGTTGAGGGATTTCTTGGGGCCTGCTGAGGAGGGAGGGAAGGGCTTTGCCTTTCTGGCTGACATGTCTCTTCAGCATGGAGGTCGGGGTGTGCGTGGAAGCTTACCGCCAGGAGATGGAGTCTTGCCGGCGGCACCTCAACAGTGCTTTCATGACCTTTGTGGTCTTGGATGGAGATGACCAGCCCATAACCCTGCCTTGGATTCAGCCACAAGGCAAGGTGAATCATTCCCTTCAATCTGAGAAGCATTTATCAAGCTCTCCCTGTGTGCCTACTACTGGGCTAGGCACTGGGAGAATGAAGACCCCAAAAAGCAAATTGTCCCTCCGCTCGTGGAGCTTACATTCTCCAGGCAGCAGGGTACTAGACCCTATCACTTGAACCAAGTCCTGCCAAGGGTGACTGTATCCTGTGAATGAGACCAAGCATGTGGGGTCAATCCCCCGGGGGCAGTGAAGGCTCCTCCATTCTGTGGCTACCATAGGAATCTCTGGTCATCTTTCCCACACAGGGCTGCTCCAAGGGGGGCAAGATGAGGGAGTGAATGGCTTAGTGAGGGAATGAATGGCTTGGTGGGGGAGAGGATGGCTTGGTGGGGGGGAGGGTGGCTTGGTGGCGGGGAGGGTGGCATGGTGGGAGGGAGGGTGGCTTGGTGGGGGAGAGGGTGGCTTGGTGGGGGAGAGGGTGGCTTGGTGGGGGAGCAGATGGCTTAGGGGAGGAGAAAATGGCTTGGTGGGGGAGGGGATGGCTTGGTGGGGCTCCATCCCCTCTGCTGGGAACAATAGCTTGCTGTGTCCTCGTTGGGTGGTGTGGGCTGGGTCATTTGTAGTCTGCAAAGTTCTTTACTATCTGTTGTCTGATTTGGGAGGGAGAAATAGTGTGAGCTAAGGTAGGAGGCAATAAGAATGAAAGGAGATTCATCCTTTATCCCCCACCCCAAGGTATTTCAGGAGGGAGGCTTACTTTCCTCATTTGGGTGCCAGGGGGTCAGTGTGGGAGGCCAGAGATAGAGAGGCTATGGCCCCTGTCAGGGTGAGGGGATAAGACATGCCCTTTACTACCCAATCAGCCCTGCCTGAGCATGGCCCATCCCATGTGTCCTGAAGGTGTCCCTGCCCTTCTCCCTGGGCACTTGGGGCCTAGCTGGTTGCCCATCAAGGACTTATCTCTGCTTTTCTCCCCACTTCAGGAAGGTGAGCGTCGGTATAGGGAGGCCAGTGCTAGAAAGAAGATGAGACTGGACAGGTGAGTAAGGGCAGGAGGCGGGCACAGAAGCTTTACAAACCGCTGCTCTTTGGTGGCCACAACCCCTTCTCGCCATCCCCAAGCCCTTACTTCCATACCATCTCCCTGGAGCTGTATCCAGACTCAGCTGGTACTATGTTGGCTTTGAGCCCTGGCTTATTGGGTGCTGAGGGCATGAGACTTGGGCCAAGATGGGCTTTTGGGACTTTATCAACATCATCCCACTGATTACCTTCATATTCTCCACAGAACTCTTACACACATCCCCTGGGAATGTCCCTTCTCCCCTTCTCCCTTCAATTTCCTCATCTGCGAAATGGGGCTAATAACATGAGCAGTATTAACCACTCAGGTTGTCATGAAGATCAGAAAAGATAATGACTGTAAAGCACTTTGTGCACCTTAAAGCACTATGTGAATGCCAAGGGCTATAGTTTAATATTGCTCTTTCTTCTGTACATATGTAGCTGCATTTCTTATCTCTAGCTACTCATCTTTAATAGAATGTAAATTTCTGGGTCAGGATTTCCCAAGGGAATATAAGTGGGTAGGGATGGTTTCTTTCTTTGACTCTCTGCCCCCAGTGCCTAGCACAGTGCTCGGCACATAGTAGGTGCTTAATCATGCTTGCTACTGGCATGCCTGGAAGAGTTGGAATTCCCTCTCCCGGCATTAGGTCTTTTTCTGTGAATTGTTCAATGCTTCAGGGCACTATATTAGTCAGTCAGTCAAACTGTGTTTAGCTACGTTAAACTGCATTGAAAACAAATGGTTTGAAAGAGCACGTCCTCCTTCATGGATGCTCATCCCAGCTTGTCCACCCTTTGGTAGGGTCCTGTGTGATTTCATTCAGTTCAACAAGCATTTGTATTAAGCACCTACTGTGTGCAGGGTGCTGGTGGATACAAAGACACATGAAGGCACCCCAGCCTTCCAAGAGCTTGTGTGTTACTGGGGAGGGTACAGCACCCATAGAGATCAAGAAATACAAACTCAATTTTTAAAAATGGCAGAAAGAGAATACTGACACCAGGGGAGGTGAAATCAGGGAGGGCTGAATGTAGGAGGTGGCTCTTGAGCTGAGGCTTGAAGAAAGCCAGGAGGTCCTAACAGGCAGAGGTTAGGAAAGGGAAAATGCCAGGTATGGGGCACAGGAGGAAGATGCCATGCCAT